TTTCGGGTACACATCCAAGCAGCAACCCCGCACCCCCTTTTTAACATTGACGACAGATGCTTTGGGGCGGTGCAAGATTTATCTCATTGGAACTATTTTATCAAGCCCCGTGTTCATAGCAATGTTAAGAAAGGGGTCACATATTTTAAAAGCGGTGCAAGATTTCCTCCATCCACAATGATACCACTACACCACCACTACTAACTCCCACTCCTACTCCTACTCCGGTACCTACTCCTACTCCTACTGCTACTCCTACCCCTACCCCTACTCCTACTCCCACTCCTAGCTCCTACTCCGACTTCTACTCATCCTGCTACCTGCTACTGCGACCAGAGTGATCACAACTATCATGCTCCTAAAGAATTGTACATGCTTGTTTGTCTGTGAAACGCTCTGCCTTGGCGCGCCCTCAGCACCAGCGCAGCTAGCTCCTGCTTGCAGGATCGCACATACGGTTGTCCCTAATTACGGGTTCTATTGAGGTTTATGAGAGCTGAATGGTGGTAAGGGTTTCAGTGAGTTTTTTAGATGCTGATAAGGTTTGAGGGCGCAAAGAGAAAGAACCCCGCGTTGTCCATTGATAAGGAGTATCAGACTGAGTATCAAAGTAATGCTACATAGTATTACAGCAAACCTGTTTATCCGTCACGGGTCTACACTAAGTACGGGCTATAGGGGGTGCGATGCCAGAGGGCTTCAGGGTTTTACTTGTTGTGTGGTAGGTTTCAAAAGGGTTCTATTGGGTTGTATTACGGTTCTGTCTGATTCTAAAAACTTTTTAATAGGCGCTCGTGAGCTTTCTGGGTGCTTTTGAGGCAGGTAAACTTCATGGCCCATGTGAACTAGTGGGCCCATACGCCTTCGTCTTCAGACCATGCATACACTCTGAACCCCAACGTTCGCGGCCTCTGCCGCCCCCCCCCCCCAGGCCCGAACCCCTATTGCCCTAAACCCGTGAACCCCTGAACCCTGACCTCCCAACGAAGCTTGAAAATCTTCTTCAACACAACAGGAGTAGACTGCCCTGAGAGACTCGATCAAAAATTAAACACACAAGATTAAATTGCAATCAAGACGGTCCCAATGACAGGACACTCGAGGGATCTAGACTAAGCTACCCTTCGCCTAGGCTTGGCAAGGGCTGCCGGATCAAAAACAATGAAACAAAGGATCAAAGAATCAAAACTTTAGGACAAAAAGGAAAATATAAAGGGATCTATAAAAAATAAAAGGCGAACCCGGGCTGTCACGGCAATATCAAAAAATCGCGAACCCGGGCTGTCACGGCTGTAAGACTGCTGCTGCGCGCTACAATTGCCGTCCTCCAAGTATTACTGCGTCTCAAGGCTTAACGTGATCGATGCCTGCAACTGGTGTTTCTTGCTTTATTTTGTAAGCAGTACGATGGGAGCGCACACCCTGCTCCGTAGTCAGAACAGCGGGAACCGCCTGTCGCACGGATCCGCTGCAAACAGTAGAACGTTGGGACGAAATATGCATCCCACCGCAACGACGACGACTACTATTCCTGCGACGAGCACCACTACTACCAGTACTACAACTACGAGCACGAGTAACACTGCCCCTAATATTGCTGTTGTGGCTGCTGCCGCCAAGACTACTACGACCACTACTACTTCTGTCTTTGCTGACAGGATGATACCTG